CCATACACCCATATACACCACAGACTGCACATAACCACATCCCCCCATACATACACCACACGCCCATATACACCACAAACTGCACATAACCACACCCCATACATACACCACACACCCATATACACCACAGACTGCACATAACCACACACATCCCATACATACACCATACACCCATATACACCACAGACTGCACATAACCACACGCCTATATACACCACAGACTGCACATAACCACACCCCATACATACACCACACGCCCATATACACCACAGACTGCACATAACCACACACCCCCATACATATACCACACGCCTATATACACCACAGACTGCACATAACCACACCCCATACATACACCACACACCCATATACACCACAGACTGCACATAACCACACACACCCCATACATACACCACACGCCCATAGACACCACAGACTGCACATAACCACACCCACTACATACACCATTCACCTATATACACCACAGACTGCACATAACCACACGCCCATAGACACCACAGACTGCACATAACCACACACCCCATACATACACCACAGACTGCACATAACCACACACACCCCATACGTACACCACAGACTGCACATAACCACACCCATACGTACACCACACGCCCACACACGATTTCACTGCTTCCAAAAAGCTCCTCCTATGCTTTCATCTCTTAGAATGTGAACCACAGATTTGACATTGTAAAATAAATGATTTTATGTCCCTTTATTAATGTGTTTATTTAATGTTACTACACAGTCAACAGAAACAACCCGAGATATGCTCTTACTCGTAATACTTACTTCTTTTGTGCTTTCTTTATGGACATAGATCCATTTTTCACGATAAAAACCTAGAATAAAATTAATTTTGTTTTTAAAATGTGGCAAATCATTTCAAAATGAAGTTTTAAAAGGAATTCAGTAATTGGACATATTAACAAAACTATGTGACTTCCTGACAAAATTGCTTGTTTGCAAGCATCAGTTTTAAGAGGTGTCAAATCCTTTCACATGAAAAATGATTTAAGCCAGTACTAAAGCCTAGTAACTTGGAAGAAAACTAGTACTATTAGTGACTGCAGTTATGTGAAAACATAAGTGATTATAAAAATGCAATTAGATTACTAATAAATTCTTATGTATCCTAATAAAAAGTTCTATCCTTCCATTGCTCTATATGATATTTCATAGAAATGGGCTTTTTTGGTTGGTTTTGTTGTTGCTGTTTGTTATTGTTTGGTTGGGGGTTTTTTTGAGACAGAGTCTTACTATATCACCCTAGGTAGAATGCCATGGTGCCATAGCTCACAGCAAACTCAAACTCTTGGGCCCAAGCAATTCTCTTGCCTCAGCCTCCCAAGTAGCTGGGACCACAGGCACCTACCACAATGACCAGCTATTTTTTCGTTGTTGTTGTTGCAGTTGTCATTGTTGCTTAGCTAGCCTGGGCCAGGTTTGAACTCACCAACCTCGGTGTATGTGGTTGGTGCCGTAACCACTGTGCTACGGGCACCGAGCCTGTTTTGTTTTGTTTTTTTTTTAAATAGAGTCTCACTCTGTCACCCTAGGTGGAATACTGGGGTGTCATAGCTCACTGCAACCTCAAACTCTTGGGCTCGAAAGAGCCTCCTGCCTCAGCCTCTCAAGTAGCTGGGGCTATCGGCACCTGCCATAATGCCTGGCCAGTTTTTCTATTTTTAATAGAGACAGGGTCTCACTCTTGCTCAGGCTAGTCTTGAACTTCTAAACTCAAGCAATCCACTTGCTCAGCCTCCCAGAATACTAGGATTACAGGTGTGAGCCACTGTGCCAAGCTAGAAACAAGTTTTTTCCCAACTCAAATCTCAGCGCTTTCAGAGTCACTGTAACTACCCTCTCTACATGACCCTATCATCTTCATGCAGTAGTCTCCCTTAGCCATGGTATTATTCCTGCAGTTTCAGTTACCTGAGACCAATCATGGTCTGAAAATATTACATGGAAAATTCCAGAAATGAACTTGTAAATTTTAAATTGTGTACTGTTCTGAGCAGCATGATGACATCTCGGCAGCCATCCTGCTCTGTCTGGCCCAGGATGGAACCCTCCCTCTGGCAGATCCATGCTGTCTACACTATGCCAGTCAGTCACTCAGGGGCCCTCGAGTTATCAGAGTGACTCAAGCAGTACTACGGTGCTCGTGTTCAGGTAACCCTATTGTACTTTACGATGGCCCCACAGCACAAAATGCTGGCATGTTGTTATAACTGATGTATCTTTTATTATTAATCTCTTATACTGCCTAATTTATAAATTAAACTGTAAAATAAGTATGTTTGTAGAGAAAAAATAGCACATATAGGACTGGGTACTATCTGCAGCCTCAAGCATCTACTGGGGGCCTCCAAGGTCTGGGGCCCAATCCACATTTAGGCTTGTCTTGGTGACCTGAGGTGGTGCCCAGAGTCCTGCCTCCCACCCAGACAAGGCTTCCAATGTCCTGAACTCCAGCTCTGACCCTAACTCTTGCACTGCAGTCAGGACACCCCTCTGTGTGGCCTAACTGCTCAGGAGTGAACTGAATTCATGCCCCATGTGGCCCAGAGGCATGGGGGTTTTGTAGGTTTTGTTATCACAGATCTTACCAACTATAGTGGCTGAGCTGCAGCAGTACATGCGGTCACTGACTCAGTGGGCAATGCCGGAAACAGTGCTATTGTTTACACATCTGCGTCATCTTTCATCAGATAGCACTACCAAAGCAGGTTTTTAGTATTTCAATATACTCAACAAGTATAACAAAATCATTAATAAAAATCATCTTACTTTGAGTATTTGTGTTATTTCTAAAATGGTCTTTTTTCCTTTTTTTGGATGCATATTCTCGCTCCTCATCATTGAATATTCCTTCATCTTCACTATTTAAGATACTGAAATAAAAATATATCCTGTTAAAATATTTTTTTCAGGGAGATTTTCAAATTATTTTGTAAGAAAATGCAATAAATACCTGGTTTGCAATTTAGGGAAAAAAAATCAGATTAAATTCAGAAAGTACTATTTAATTTCCCAAACCACAGATCTTGGCCTTAAAATTACAAAGGTAATGTCTAATACATTTTTCTGTTTTAAAAATCTGATGTTTATTCTGGTCCTTCCGAGAATGCTATATCTGAAAATGATGAACATATTTTAGACTTTCCCAAGGATTGTGGTATGTTCAACCAAAGTAGTTTCAAAATGCTTTAAAATGGAGATTAAAAAAAAAACCTATAAAACACTGGGAAAAAGTTAGTGATAATATGATATCTGAATGACTTGCTGCATTCCTGGTGCAAGGTTGAGACTCAGCTTTATTTTTGATTTAACTAAACTTAATGATTACCGCATTCAACATCTTAGTAAGCATCCAGCAAACATGCTGTTAAGGCATTTAACTGTTAAATGCTGTTAAGGCATTTAACTGAAACCAGGTGAAGTTAAACATGTTTTTACCACTCAAATATACTTAATTAAAAGCATTTCTAATATTTCTTCTTTTTATGAAATAAGGAAATAAAAACATAATGTATAACTAAACAACTTGAACACCTTTCCTTTAAAAAAAAATCTGTAAACAGAATCACACCCTCAGAACTAAAGATGAGCAAAATTTTTTATTTTTCAGCTCACTGGTAACAAATCATTCCTGTCCTGGAAGCAAAAGAGGACAAGCTACTGGCTGGGCGTGTGGGAATAACACTTAAAATCAAGGAACTAAAAGCGCTTACTCCCCGTCATCATTCTTTGATGAGAAAATTATATACAAACTCTTTCTGGGCACCAGTATATACTTCTAATAAAAATCATATCAGTTTTCCAAATGACTCTATTTCTTACTGTCAGGACAGACTTAAACAGCACTGGCAAGAGGTATGAACCATTGAGATAAACAAGCGTATATTTGAAAAAGATACTGGCAACTTGAGGTCTTGTAGCATGAAGTGATACCAATTTGAGGAAAGGCGCTGATGCTTCTATCTTACATTTCATCTTATGCTGGCATGCTGTCTATCAATCAAATATAAAACGCAGAAGTTTTCAAATCTGTAAAAGTTTTTCTAACTAAAATCCGTCTAGAATCCATCTAGAAATAATGTGTCCATAGAGTTAGTAACAGAGGGTCATTTTCCCTTACATGTTTATCCAGTTGAAAAAGCTTTCCCCCATGGTGTACCTGGAACACTGTTGTCAAAAAGCAACTGACTCATTACCGTGGATTGTATTTTCAAGTTCTCTATGTTCTACCAATTGAACTATTTGTCTGCTCTTACCTAATACCATAGTATCTTGAGCATTTCTAAGTAGGAAAGCAAAGTAAGACACCTGCAATCACTTTGGCTGTGGACCAATGACGGCTCAGCCATGAGTCCATGGGCAGCTGACAACCAGCTGGAAAGCAGCCAGCACCACCATTAATGGGAGCTAGTCACATACCCAGTGATCCAAGTGTTTTAATCCCAGGAAGCTACTCCACCAAAACAAGTACACAGGTAACCCTAAAGCAGTGGTTCTCAACCGTTGGGTCACAACCCACAGGAACTGTATCAAAGGGCTTTGGCATTAAGAAGGTTGAGAACCACTGCCCTAAAGACACAAAAATCTAAACTGAAAACCAGTCATGTGTCTCCCCTCAACTGAATGAGCACTGCCACACATTCAGTTATGTGAACCAATTGCACAAAGTGAACCAAAAGGAACAAGACATTAAAAAATTCATAATGTATGATCCTTACATACAAAACATCAGAAAAAAATAAGCTACAGTGTTTAGAAATACATCTCTAGATGATGAGCCATCCAGGAAAGCAAGGTGGGGTGGGGTTGGCTTCTGTGACCACATTGGCTACTCTGGTATTTCCTTTGTGACACATCGATTAATTGCAATATTTGTCTTGGGCACTTCTTCTGTATGTATGATACATTTCTTTTTTTTTGAGACAGGGCCTTCAGCTGTCCCCCTGGGTAGAGTGCCGAGGCATAGCTCACAGCAACCTCCAACTCCTGGGCTCAAGCGAGTCTCCTGCCTCCGCCTCCAAAGTTGCAGGGACCACAGGTGCCCGCTACAATGCCTGGCTATTTTTTTTCGGTTGCAGCCATCATTGTTGTTTGGCGGGCCTGGGCTGGATTTGAACCCGCCACCTTAGGTGTATGTGGCTGGCACATTAGCCACTTGAGCCACGGGCGCCAAGCCTATGATACATTTCATAATTTAAAAAGTGAAAAAGAAAAAAAAAAGAAAAGAAAGGTACCTAGGAATTTGGCATACTAGAAATTCTTAAGAGATGTTTATTGCCATGCCTCAAATAAGAAATTAGAGCGTTTTGACTTGGCGCCTATAGCTCAACAGCTACGGTACCAGCCACATACACTGGAGCTGGTGGGTTCAGACCCAGCCTGGGCCTGCCAAACAACAATGACAACTACAACAAAAAAAAAACAGCTGGGCATTGTAGCAGGCACCTGTAGTCCCAGCTACTTGAAAGGCTGAGACAAAAGAATCACTTAAGCCCAAGACCTTTAGGTTGCTATGAGCTGTGACGCCACACCACTCTACCCAGAATGACACAGTGAGACTCTGTCTCAAAAAAATAAAATAAGGTTGGCACCTGTCGCTCAATAAATAGGGTGCCAGCCTCACACACTGAGTGGTAGGTTCAAACCCGGCCCCAACAAAATTGCAACAAAAAAAACACCTGGGCATTGTGGTAGGCACCTGTAATCCCACCTACTCAGGAGGCTGAGGCAAGAGAATCGCTTAAACCCAAGAGTTGGGGGTTTCTGTAAGCTGTGATGCCATGGCACTCTACCAAGGGTGACATAGTAAAACTGTCTCAAAAAAAAAAAAAAAGAAATTAGAGAGTTTAAAACTAAAACACACACACACACACATATATATATGTACACATACACAGAGTAGAACCTCTATAAGTTGACTACCCAAGGGAGTAACAAACTGGTCGATATGTGGAGGTGGTCCATATGAGGAACTAGACCTTTGTATCTGTGGTACATGCCCAGTCTATGAAAATTAGGTCAACTTAAGAAGGTGGTCAATGTAGGGAGATGGTCAGCTATGGAGGTTCTCCTGTATATGAAAAGAAAAACAAAATGATGAGAAGATAAACTAAAGGAAGACGAACCAAGTTCAGAAAGGCAGGCAAGTCAGTCTCAGATCCAAGGAATGAAGTTGGGATCCAGGTTCTATGGATGGTTTGATCTGCATTTTACATTAAACAACTGGCAGAAAATAAGTACGCAAGCTTTCACCTACAAAACACAAGACAGCAGACACAACACAGCTGTTAACCCACAGACCTTGTTACCTGAACTGGAAATGGGAGATTTTGTTCTTAGGCCCTAGATTAACAAAACATATCTAAAGCCAGCACAAAGCAAATAATAATTTAATTTAATCTGAAAAAAAGTAACTCAGGTCCCTGCTCCTGGAAGATAAATAAATCAATCATCAAAACCAATTTCAACAGATTTGATCCAGAGTTAGAGTTTTCTACCTTTGATGAATGTGCCCCTCCCTCCATTCAGACATCAGACACTTGGAAGCACCCACTGTGTTCAAGACATTACACAGGAATGCACTGGGGCACAAAGAGGAATCGGGAAGGTCTTGTTCTATGGGGATGTTGCATTTAGGTAAACAAGCAAAATATGCTGACGATAATATTCTTAGGACATTTTGAAAACTAACTTGGAGGAGCTGGAGAGAGATGGGGAAGGGGGTGCATATAGAGTATACAGTGACAGAAGGAACTTAAAGATCTGGCTGACGACATAGATTCTTAAAATATACTCTGGCCACAACAGTAAGAATTCTTTCAAGTGAGAAAAACCTAATCCAACTGGTGTGAACAAGAGGAACCTCCTTACAGAAGCAGAAAAGTCTCAGACCCAGAGAGGGGCTCAAACAATGTCACAGACAACAGAATCTTCTAGCTCAGCTTCCTGGGGGCTCTGCCCCAATTCCACAGCACCTCCCTTTGCAGCTTAGGTCTCATCACCAAAACACCCCCCCTAAAGAGTAGGAGCCTATTCACCAACCCTGCAAACAACAGTCCAGAACTGGTGCCCTCTGGCTGCCATTACTCCACTGAGATGGCACGTATACCTGGCTTAGACAAGACCACCTGCTCCCACCTGCCAGCAGGTAGCAAGGGGAAGAACCATGGTGCTAATATGGTAAGTGGGCTGGAGACAGGCTATACCAATAAACAACCAGCTGCCCTTTACTCTTTTTTTTGAGACAGGGTCTCAAGCTGCCACCCTGGGTAGAGTGCCATGGTGTCATAGCTCATCGCAACCTCCAACACTTGGGCTCAGTGGATCCTCTTGCCTCAGTTTTTCTATTTTTAGTAGAGACAGAGATTCACTTTTGCTCAGGCCGGTCTCAAGCAATCCACGTGTCTCAACCTCCCAGAGTGCTAGAATTATAAGCATGAGGCACTGCCCCAAGCCCCCTTTACTCTTTAAATGTGCTGTGAGCTATTAACAGGCTTGCAAAAGGAATGAACAAAACTAAGTGAATACAATGTATTCACTTAAAATCCAAATAGATAACTATAATTACAGATCATACAACTAATTAAGAAAGAGATGCCCATCCCCTCTAAGATGCACAGTGCAAACTGTGACTATTCTAGAATTTTATAAATGAACTATTCTTATCCTCTCAATGATTTTTATAAGTGTAAACAAAGAACTATAACTGCTTTTAAAAGAATCCTTCAATACTCACTCTTACAAACTAAATAAAATTTACCACTTTTCCTCTTCCAAACTGTTAAAGATCACAAAGAGTTAAAGTAATGGTGGAGACAAGGCTGTTATAACATCTCATTCACTTCCGAAAAAGACCCTGCCCTATAAAAGCAGGTGGTGTGAGAGCTGACAGCACCTTTAGGTGAAGAGGCAGGCGTGGCCCACACAGCATGGGGTGCTTCATCCATCACACCCTCCTGAGACCCTACCCTCAGGCAGTGCATACCCTGCACTGATACACTCAGCATCTAGGATGAAGTGGGAGGGATGAAAATTTTTCACACTACTATTCAAAATTTGAACCAGTACAAAATTTTGGAAGATAATGTGGCAACACTAGAATTTTAAATATGCAATTCTATTAGGAACTTAGACAGTTGACAATTATGTAAGTGTCAAATAAGAATATACAATAAAATCAATGACTAGAACCAGGACATTTAATAACCTGAAATAAGTATGCACAAAAATATACACAGATAATCAGCGCTATACTATACAAAATAGAAAAAAATGTAAAGAATCAAAATGTCACTGGAAGTTGGAATAAATAAGCCGTGACATGTTAGAAAGAATGAGGTAAACCAACACACGCCAACATGGAACAACTTTCAAGAACTAAAAAGCAAGAAAAAGGATGCACACACGAGGGTATCAGAAGCTCACAGAGAAGGTACATGACCTGCAACCCTGTGGTCCTGCTCTGGGGACAAACCCAGGACCCAGTGCTCACGTGTACAAGAAGATGCATATTCATGTGTCACCACAGCCAATGGATCTCCAGTCTCCAGCTGCTCAGGTCAGAGCTCTGCTGTCACTTCTACCTTCAGTGCACCCCATGCAGCCCACCTGTCCACACTACCTGTAAAACACACCCAGGGTTGGGACCCTTCACCTCTGCCATCTCTGTTTTCACCAAGCCACCTCGTCTCTCAGGAGTTAAGGCAAGGGCCTCTGAGGAACTGGGCCACCAGCAGTGTGTTTCTAACACAACAGCCAGAATGACACTATTAAAACAGGAGTCTGAGGAAATCACTTTTCTGTCCAAAAACTGTTTTGAAGAGACAGGGAAGAAGTCTGAAATAGCGTAGAGATGAGGGGAGCGGGAAAACCTTGGAAATTCCAACGTGGACAGCAAGCAGACATGTAAATGAAAATCCAACAAAAAGACTGAATAAATTAAATGCAAAGGAAAGACCCCAGAAGTACCACCCTAAGGCTGGGCTCAGCACACTATGTGTGACTATGTAATCCCTCATTAAACGTCAGCTTCACCAAAGACAACGAGTAACTTCCAGTCTATCCTCAGCAGTGCTAACAGGTAACAGGTCCCTAAGTTTGCAGTTCCAGATTGCAGGTTTATAAAAATCATGCAATCTCTGTCATCCAACACAAACCTGCGTGGTGGCAACACTCCTAGGGAGAGCAGATCAAGCCTAATCATTCACACACCACCACTTCCCCACCCCAAACCTCAAAGCCCTTCTCAGGGCTCCCTTCTTAAGTGTCCAGTTAGCCTGTAGCCCTCCCTATTCCCAATCCAGCCTTCTGCACAGAAGGTGCCACAGGGAAGCACTGCTCACTTCTCCCCTGGTCCACTGAGGTCTTGAGCTGGCTGCCCCCTCACCAGGCTGCACACAGCCAGCCTACCAGCCCTGCTGCTTATTCAACGCACTTTCTTAGATGTGGTTCCAGACAGATCCTCTGTGCTCCACAGGAAGACACTGTGTGTGTTCTAACATGTGATGTCTTTTAAATGAAGACTTAAGCATTTAAAACAATATTTAACATTTGCTTTATCATCATAAATCTCAAGGATATTACAAAAGTTGCTTCAAAAAGCAGCTGAGTCAAGATTCAGAGTCTGAACTAGCTGGCTACTCCTTCCATGCACACACCCATTTACAAAAAGAGAATTAATAAAGTCAGCTGCAATCTTCATTACCTAGACTACTTTCACTACAGTACTTTTTCTAAATTTAGAAAGCCCACTTTAAGTCAAAAGAAATGGGAGGAAGACAGGGCCATTTGACATAGTAATTTAATATGGTGGTTACATATTGTGTTATCCTTTTTATCAATTTTCAGTTTGAATTTAACTGGCTTTTCGTTCTAGGGAAAAGTACTGCTTGCCACAGCACTGGGTCACCAACAGCCTCTCCCACAAATTCAGATTTGCATCATGGCAAGAATGGAGAGAAGCTGGAGGAAGACAGGGAGAAAAGGCAGAGAGGGAGGGAGAGGGTCCTTGGATGTACAAAGCAATTGGATGGGATGCACGGGCAAGTCTCACTCATCCTCCCTTCACCCCACGGTGGTCGCCATCATAACACCTTCAGTCTTGGGGAGACACCTGGACCTTGTCTCTGAGCAAGCACTTCTGCCAGCAGGGCTGACCACCTCAAGAGGGTGTGTCTGTAGGGAAGAGTGTGGCAGACAGAGCCACAGGGTTCAGAATGACAGAGGTTCTCATGCAAAGAAATCATGTCTCAAAAAAAAAAAAAAAGAAATCATGTCTCCACTGTGTTATCTAATTTTCTATTCATATATGAAAAAAATCAATTCTCAGGTATTTAAAATGTATTTGGGAAGAGAACATATGAGGAAAAAACAGAAATGCAAATTTCTTAAGGTAGAAATACCAGTAACAGTGTATTTCAAGCGTTATAGCTTTTTAAACTGCCATTCTGTAACTTATTTCTCCGTCATAAAACAGTGAGGGACTTTAAGATCTCCACAGTTCATAATGGCCACGATGGGCAAAAATGTGAGATATCTAACATTTCTAGATAGACTCCACTACCTTTAAAATTAAATAATTAGCTATAAAAATTATAAGACAAGAAAAAATTACCTTAGAAAACTCATAAATGCGTAACATTAATTATCCAACACCAAGAGCATAAGTAATAACAAACCTTAAATAAATTTTACAGCCATAAATATTAAATAAATCTCAGAATGGCAGAGAGCTGCCACAATGTAAGCTTAAAAAAATATTACTGTGTTATCTTCACTACAACTAAAATGTAAAATTAATTTCTGCTTCAAACACTATGAAAACTAGTCTCTGGTATAAAGCTACTAAACTTCTGTCAGAAAAACATATGGCCCACGAAACATACGGTCGACAATTATGTACGTGTCAAATAAGAATATACAATAAAATCAATGTCTAGACCCAGGACATTCCACAGGGAAGGGTCTCAAGACCTTCCCCATTCTCCAAATTCTCAAACATCCCCATAGTAGAGACTGCAGTTTCACACTGTAACAGCCGCCTCTGTTCCTGTGCTCTACATAGTGAGGTGTGGGTGACATCATGTGTAACTTCTGGGCTGTGCCACTGAAGAACGGGTGTGTCTCCCCAACCCTACAGCCGGGATGCTGATGTGGTGGGTAACACACCCCCTGGACCACACAGGTGGCAACAGAGCAACAAGACAGTGTTACCAGCAAAGTCACTATCAATTGAGGCTTTCAGGGAGAACAATAAATTTCAGTCTCGGGTAAACCACCATTATTTTGTCTCTGGCATATGCCACCAAACCTATGTCTTTCTAATTTCCTCAAGTCCCTCAACTATAATGATACCTATTTCTCAGATTATTGTGAGGATTAAGTATTTTAAATGAAAAGAAGAAAGCCACCTTTATGTGCAGATATCAGGTAACCCACTGGCCTCATTCTCTGGCTAAATAACTTGTTTCTTCATCCTAGCAATCTAGGTGTACAAGTCTCAGATTACAACTTATGGAGCTTTGCAAGGACTTGAACAGCAGATGAGGCTATGAATGCCAAGGTTCTTTAACTCACATGCTGTGACTAATGTCACACTGGTTACTCTCTCTTCCAAGTTCCTGACTGCAGGACTCGCATCTCTTCCAGCCGTCTTCTGTTTTAATCCAACTCCATCCAGGAGACCTCCAGTCTTGACCCAAAAATGGCATAGTTCTATAAAAAATAGTCATGTTTAAAATAATGTAATTAACAGAAGTTTCTGCTCATTTAGAACATTTATCCATTGGTTTTAAAGACTTAAGTTCTTACTTAACATTTAAGTCTGCTTATTACTTAATAGAAAAGATAACATACTATTAAAGAAAACAGTACATGTACTAAAGCTGTAAGATGGGGTAAGTACAGGTGAACGTCCCTCAACAACACTGCGTGCATCAAGAAAGGTTTACCAGGGGCGACCCCAAGCTCCCACCTGAAGATCAAGCGCAGGCAGGGAGCAGACAGGAGTGGGGACGGCATTCCACACACAGTGCACTCTTGCTGCCAAAGGGGCCTAACCCAGCATGAGTCCACACTCTGAACCTCTAAGCAGTTCAACCTGGTTGAGCTGAGAAAAGAAAGCGGGTGAGGAGTGGCTATGGCAAGCACGGAGAAGTCACTAAAGCCAATCAAGTCCAAGGACCTCACTCTGAGGACAACAGAGGCCAAGAAAGGGGATGATGCAGGAAGTGACAAAGAATGCAGGATCACGCCCAGAGAACACACAGGGGCCCAAAGAGCACAAAGGAGCTGGAACTGGAGGTACAGCAGGAAGAGCAGAGGGCAATGTTCAGGGGGAGAGTCCAGTGGCACTGCAAGGCTGGCTGGATATGTGAGATGTCACAGAGACATCCAGATCTGGTCTGTGGCACCAGGTTCTGAGGTAAGGCACATCGAGGCAACAGCAGGCCTTTGCTGGAGGGGAGGAGGTAAGAGACGCTGATTTCAGCTTTGGACATACCTGTCACATCTGACATATTAGACTCAAGGAATAAACACTCCAACTTAAGAAATTATGCAACATAAATTATGAAGTTTGTAACTCCTGAGTGAGACCTTGGACTCTAGCTCTCCTCCCTGACTAGCTCTCTCCCTCTCGGCTAGTGGTCTCACTATCACGGTGCACTGACATCATAGTCTGGGAAGCTTTTAAACAGTACGATACTGGGGATGGGGATGAGGGCTAGGTTTAAGGCTTCTTTAAAGGTCCACAGATGACTCTGACACCCCATGAGGGCCAAGAACAGCCTTTGATGTGCACGCTGCTGATTCAAATAGCACTTCCCCAGAAAAGCTTCCCAATGCCTGTCCAATAGCTCCCTTCTGTGGCCTCTGAACTCCCAATCAGTCTCTCTGGGGGCACCTAGTGACTTCACAGTAGTAAGGACTGTCTGGAATTACTGATGTGTTTGCCAACTGTCATCCTCCAAGACAATATAATGTCCTCCTCAAATTTCTATCCCAAGTACCTTGAACAATGGCAGGCACACAACAGCAACTCAAAAAATATTTATATATTGAATGAACCAAGCAGTAGATAGATCCATGGCTCAGAAGAGAGGCAGGCTGGAGAGAAATACAGGAAAATCACCATCATTTAGACAAGAATGAAACCCACAGAAACAGTATCATAGCTTGTGTAGAGTGAGAAAACTCCAGGAAACACCAAAGTCCACAGGACCAAAGAATGAAGATGCCCCAGAAAGAAAACTGAAAAGGAAGAGCCAAAGGTAGAGGAGAAAATAGGAAGTCAAGACAAAATGTATTTTAAGAAAGAAATGACGGAGGAAAACGTTATAAAGAAGCATAGTTGCTAAGAAGTGTAAATCAGACACAACTTTAGCTACAGAAAGACAGCTGATGCCTCGAGCAAACAGTTTTAGTAATGTGCTCGGATCAATCCAAGTAGACTTGGAATCTCTTATAACATAGAAGGTTTACATCACACACAGCGTGTGAGATGCAAGTGTCTACACAACACCCTCCAGCTATTATATATTTAGTATAAATAACAAAAAGCAGGCTGCTAAATGGGCATTTTACACTATCTTAGAAGAGACAGATTACCTCAAACAGCACACGTCTGATTTTCAAAAACATTCAGATATAGGCCTGAGAACATTCCCACCAAAGCAGCAAGGACCCTGAAGTAGCAGATGACAGCTTAAACGGCAATTTCAGTCTTGCAAAAAACACACAAGAGAAAAATGGATGTTAGGACTATCTCTGATAACTGCCAAAGTACCTTTCATATCATGCTGAAACTGTGGATTCAAAAATCTGTTTAAAAAAATCACATAGTAACTCTGAAAAATATTGGTAATAGAGCAAATACAGGATGACTTCAATAACAAACATTTGACTGAATTCTATTATGCTAGGTGTCCCTGACCTCAAGGGTGTACCAACTAGCAAAGTAACAAAAAAGCAGAAACACAAAAGAAAACATACACATCAAAAGTGCATTACATGTAATAAAGTTTGTGTTTATGTGCGCAAATATACATACATGCACAATCTTGGAATGTGAGTACTGAATGAGTGGTAAAGAGAAAATAAAAGACTAAAAGAAAAAAAGTACATCAGCTAGGAAAAGTCTGAGGAGAAACTAGGACACGAGCCTGGCCTTAGAGCAGTGATTTTCAACTAGTGTGCTGTGAGAGGATCTTAGGTATACCACACAAATTTTTAAAGATCAAATTAATTAAATTACTTCTGAAGGAAGTTCAAAGCACAGTAAATATATTGTTCTTTTTTTTTTTTTTTTGATCAACCTAATTTAAGTGTGCCATGGAAGTTTAACTGTAGGTTTGAGTGTGCCATGAGATAAAAAAAAAAAAAAAAGGCTGAAAAACACTGCCTTAAAGCATGGCTAGACCTTAAATAAGTGGAGAGTCAAGGAAAACATATCTATCACAGGAATGGTCAGTGAGTAAGTATAAGAACTGAAATCTGTGTGACACATTTAAGAAAAATAAGCAGAACAGGTTAGCTGACATAGAGAAATTTCATGGGAGAATTGGTAGGTGAGGTGGGAAGAGGTCTAGAAGCCAGATTGTGGCAGTCTTTGAATATTAAAGGTGTTTGGACCATATCATCATCGAAGTTAAGTAAAAGTTTTCAAGCAATATAGGGTGTCCAAAGGTTGCCATACATGGAAAATAACAGATTCAAATATTTCATATTTTAATATTATATTAACATGGTGACACAGAGAAATATTTTGCAAATATTTTGTAAAACTTCATAATGAATATTTTGAAATAAAGGTACATTTAGCTACAATTTCCCATTTTCCCTTGTATGCATATATGGTGACCTTTGGGACACCCTGTATATCAACATGAGCAGTGCTGTTTTGAAAAGAATTTTCTAGGGCAATGGTTCTCAACCTTCCTAATGCCGCAATGTATTTTCACTGTTACAAAGAGGTCGCGACCCACAGGTTGAGAACCGCTGTTCTAGGGCCTATGAGATAGATCAAATGGGAGAATAGAGACAGAGAAAAACAACCAGACAACAGAAACATCTTGCCAAGAGACCCGTATCTAGACGACTTTTCTATACGCACTTCCCTTTATCCTCAGTGTGTTTTAAACCTGGTTACACAAAACATAACTATTTAGACACTATGCCCACTCATCATTTAATATACTTATCTTTTGGTTTCACAAATAATCCTTACAACATTTACATAACGTAAAGATCCACCTTGGTGTTTCCAGTAATATAACCAATTCTTTTACAACTACTAACATTCTACAGAAAGTTCATTTTAACAATGTGATGAGAAATGAACAAGTTAGTCTGAGTGAGTAATTCAGCTGATAAATTTAATTTTTAAGGGTTGGAAGAAGTACAATGCATGAAAATAAAAAACAGTTCATGCCCAAAGTGATTATTTTTAATCCAAAGCAAAAGATTTGATTCTCAGTAGATGTGTGTATTTCACAAGTCTGCCACGGTATGCTCTCTGGATCCTAAGTTTTATTTTAAAGATTCTATACAGTTCACAAACTAAATCGCAGACTCTAGAAGCAGAGTTACTAAAAACTAGTTAACAAAAAAGCATTGGAAAATAGCAAGCAGATAAAAAAAAAAGTTGCTATTTAAAAGGCCTAAATCTCAATTTTTTAAAATAGTCCAATATGAGGTATCTGATTTTGCAAATCAGAAAACACTGATACTAAATGTTTAGAGTAACAGCCTATTACTTTTTATAGCAATCTGTCTGTTTGACTAAAAACATAAATTCCTAGGGCTTTATAAATGTATTTTAATTAAAATTACCTTTAGTTTGAGAATTTGCAAATACAAAAATAAAAGTTATTAAATGTGTAACAGCAAGTACTCCAAGTGTCTACTTGGTGATTATATAGTTTGTATAATTTGCAATTGTTAAGCACATTTTATACTAACTTATTTCAGACAGCATATGAGGCTGAATTATTTTAAATCTTCCCTTAATCTCTATTTTATATGCCAAGACATGCGGGTGGGGAACCTTAATAGAAAAAGACTTCATGAAGTTCGTTTGCTGGTAGAAACTCCTGGTATAAGAAAATCAGAACTAATCAAAAAATGTCTTTCGTTCAACAAGCACATTTTTCTCCTGAAATAATGATAATAACAGCAAACACTTATTAGAATTTAGCATAAGCCAGATATTACTCTAAATGATTTATGTGTATTATCTCATAAATATGGTGACCTTGGGACACCTTGTATATCAAAGTCCACAGTCTTTAACCACCCTCCAAGGTAGGAAATGTTATCCTTATTTTACAAATACAATTCTCTATTTTATAGATGAGTACACTGAAGCAGGACTTTGGTTGAGCTGGGATTCAAAATAATGGTTTCAATATTTATTTCCATGCTCTTAACCACCATACATTTGTAACAGTAGTGTCTGAATATCCCATTAAGACAACTTTAAACTACAAAGTCTTTTTTATTTTTACATTTTTATCTTATATTACATGTATCACCAATATGATCTAAAGTAACAGTGGATCTAAATATAAGAGCACTAAAACAAGAAAAACAAGACAAGAAACTGACCTGTAGTCCATTTTAAAAAGACTACACGTGTTATGCTGTTTTTAAGCTAGATGAAAAGAAAATGGAATAACCAGCACTTGCAGCAATTAAGTTCATCTTCAAAAAG